GTGTGGACCTATGATCGGAGCCCTCCGCTTCCCTCACTCAGCCGTTGGGATGGTGGGTATTGTAGTTTGACAAGACTGGAGGAGGCGCGATTTAGGGAGAGGAGAGTTGGGCTGATCTTAAAGCCATTCCCCAGCAGACAAGGAAACGTCCAGCTGCATTTCCTTCTCCTCCGGGACGCTGGCCTCCGGAGCTCAGTTTTCAGCCACCCAAATGAGCGAATCGGGGGAGGGGCTGCAGCTCCGTGGCATCCCCCACCTCCCGCTCCCGGGTTCTCCCTTCCCCAAGCTTGCGCACCTATGTCAACACAGCCCTACCTGCTCCAGGAAAGGGCGGGCTCGAGCTAGGCCACCAGCTGCAGAAGCCATCGCCGTAGGCTCCGGCCGGACGAGATCAAAAGCGGTCTGCTGGAATAGGTCAGGCGGCCCGGGGCTTAGTCCTCTGGCGGGAAAAACCACTGCATCTAGAGCCCCCCCGTTTGTGGAAAAGCCGGCCGGAGCTAACCTTAAGTTCCTTCTCTTCCTTCTCTCGCTGCTTAAGGGGCTGGGACGCCGCTCACGACGGACCTGCAGCATAAAGGATTTGGAAGGTAGCCGGAAGTTATGGAAATCTGCCCAGCGGATCCACAAAGGTGGGTGCTTAATTAGGTGAGTTTCCTAATTGGAACAGAGACCTTTGGTGTAGTCTGACTCCTTTTGTTCGATATTCCAATCAATAGGGTCTCCCATCCCGCACAGCCCTACTCCTCTGGGGGGAAAGGTTGCCCAATACCTCTGGGTCCAAAGACTGGGCCTCCGGCGAGCGCACCTGCCACATCAAAGGCTTCTTCCCATCCTTCATGGCGCCTCACAGCAGCGCTTCGTTCGAGGCAAAGAAGGGAGAAGCGGGACTAGGGCAAATGCCAAAGAGATTAAATGAATGCAATTTTATTTTATTGATTTTTTTTATGCCACCCATCTTACTAATAGGACACCTCTGGGTGGCTAATTAGTTAAATCATTAATGGTATTTACTGATACGCCTGCATACTTCATAGTTTAATTTGTTAAATTAACCATTACGCAGAGGGAATGTAGTAGGTCCCGAAAAATGTACTAGAATCCTTTTAATTTAATAGAATCTCTTTCTACCAGTAGTGACTATTGCAATTGGACACTAACTTTTTTAGACTCTCTGAGTCTCACTGAAAGCTTTGAGATTTGGGTCCTTCGATGCACATTTATCAGCCTGTCTTAATGGAGTGGAACTAGCTTTGGAAAACTGGAATACTGAAAGTTTGGGGGTAGGAAAAAAGATCACAAAGATTACAGTTCTTATTCATTATAAGAATGAATTCATTATAGCCTCTTCCGGATATGACGTCTAAAGAAATTGCAACCTCTTCAGACTGAGCGGCTCACAAATCTATGTTCCTATCGGGAGCTCTTTTCGTGGCCCACCTGTGCAGATTATGAAGGCTGCCGAAACAGAAACAGAAACAGATCCCATCATCCTCCGACAGCATCCTGAGTTCTAAGACAAAGTCCTCCTTATCGACAGGGGAGGGTCTCGATCAAGAGTAATCTAGACTTCAGCCAATAATTCTAGATTACAAAGTTACAAAGTTATTCGGTGCAGCGACCGAGAGAAATATTCAGATGTTATTGTCCTTAAAGTAGTTCGGGTATCAAACTCGGACAAGCATCAGATTCAGATTCAGCTCAAAGCATCCGAGAGCCCTGGGGAATACTGCTGGTTGGTTCGGTACTCTTTCTCCCCTCCCCCACCCCTAAAGTGGAAGCTGGTTGCACAAGGGAAGACTGCCCTCCTCCGTCCCCCTCCCCAGCGGAACTACAAGGCCCAGGAATCCCCGGTCCTGATGGTGTTATACTTCAGTTGTTCTCTCTGTCCCCATCGCCTAATGTTTCTCAACCTTGACAATTTTAAGGCACGTGGACTTCAACTCCCAGAATTCCACAGCCAGCATTGCTGGCTGTGGAATTCTGGGAGTTGAAGTCCACGTGCCTTAAAATTGTCAAGGTTGAGAAACACTGGTAAAAGAAGATTCAGGAGCACTTCGAGGAAAGCGCATCAGAGAAAGTTCCGGATCCCTTTGCAAGACTTCCGCCTCCGCCTCCGCCTCCGCCCTGGAGGAAGTGCAGGAAAAGAGCTTAACACCCCTCCCTCTCCCCGAGTCAAAGCTATATTTATCTCTCTCCAGCCCTCACCTCTCAGTTTTGTGCTTCTACCATTGTGTGATCTTTGGCTTCAGCCTCAAATAAAAATTGTCATTGAATGCAAACAAACACTTTCATTCCAAACCCAACCCGGGGTTCTTCGGCTGCAGTCACCTGGAGTGGTGGTATAGCAATAGCACTTAGACTTATATACCGCTTCATAGTGCTCTGCAGCCCTCTCTAAGCGGTTGGCAGAGTCAGCATATTGCCTCAACAATCTGGGGGCAATACTGGAGAGGGAGAGAGAAATGAACAAAGATTATTTTTCCTCCTTAATGAGAAACCTTGAAGTCCCCTTATTCCAAACAATTTCTCACGTTACCCAGCTTTGCTGACGAGGGCGGTGGAGAACCAAACACTGTGGTACGGCTAAAATATCACACTCACACGGAGAGAGGGAAGGGGTGGGTGGGAAGAAAGCTGCTTTGTATTTCTATCTCACTTACCTGTAGTAGAAGCCATTCAATATAATAGCTCTTCTGAGTAAGCATTCCTGATTCACACCTAGACCTGGCGCTGCGGTTCTTCACCTAGGAAAAATATTTAGAAAGAATGGTTCCACCTTCTCCTGAATACATATTTTATTATTAAAAAATTCTTGATCACCTAAAACTAGTCTTAAGCAAATAGTACACCATGATAATACAAACATTTGATCCTCATCTGTGAGTCAAGTATGTTTATTCAACTGCAAAGTTGTTCAGTTTTTTTACAGGTAGTATTTGGGATTGATACAGCAATGCTAGTGGATAATATCCGGACTTTTCTGTATATACACATTTATAATTCAATCCTAAGCAAAACACCGTACACAACTCAAACACTTAAGAGTAAAGTGTATGTAGGAGACTGCAGAGCAAGCCACAGATAGCGGCTGGACCGTGGCTTCACCCAAAACGTCTTCAGTGTTTGGGTGTGCATAAACTGAAAATTTTCCAAGCCTTTTGCGTCACCTTTAAAATGACCATCCCAAGAAGTCCTATTCAGCTGTGTGAAATTGCAACTCTTTGTTTTGAACCGTGTGTCTTCCGAGGAGACGAGGCCAGCTCAAGTGGACGCCCAATAGAAAGAATATTAGATAAAGACCAGGGCACTTTTGCTGGACTCTTGTGCAGGACTCTGCATTGAAGTTCCGGACGCGTTTCCTAGGAAGTAAGGCCGGAAGTATTCACTGAATTTTCTTCCCACCTATTAGGTGCATAACTGCAGCCCTATGATATATTTCATAATTCCTTTTACAATTATGATTTAATCTGTATTACCAATAACCCAGGTCTGTACAATTGTCTTTTCTTTACGTCTCTCTCTCTCTCTCTCTCTCTCTCTCTCTCTCTCTCTCTCTCTCTCTCTCTCTCTCTCTCTCTCTCTCTCTCTCTCTCTCCCCCCTCCCTCCCTCCCTCCCTCTCTCCCTCCCTCCCAGGTAGGGGTTACAATGAGTGGCTTCTTCCAGGCTCCATAAGCCAAGTAAGCCTCGATCTCCGCAAACAGAAACCACCGTGGCGTCCTCGAGAGGCTGGTGGGAGAGCTAACTGAAATACCGCAAAGGAAATTGCCAATTTTGAATTTCCCTCCCTCTCGGCATCCTCCTGGTTAAGTCTGAATAAGTCGTGGGAAGAAAATAACTTTTTTAAAAAAGAGAGAGAGAAAATCTCCGAAGTAAGGAATCCTCCCGAGGCGGCCACTCCTGGGGTCTCTCGCCTTTGGCCCTGGGGTTCTTCTCTGCGAACGAGCAGCAACGCCAAGGAGCTCCAGAACCTCGCCCGAGTCCCCCAATAGTTGCAGCCTGGAAATGCCCCTTCTTGCTCAGCCCGGGGAGGAAAAGGCGGCGGCCAAGCCAGTGCTCCTTGGTGGTCGTCCCTCCCTCCCTCTCTTGAGAAACAAACTGGGACAACTTGGAGCGCCGTCTAGGACAGTCTCAGAAGTAGCTGCCTTTTCTACGCGCTTTAATTGGGAAGGGGAGTCTTATTTGTCCCGCTCTCTCTCAGCTCTCCCCCCTCCCGCCGCCCCGCTGCCCCTTAACCTCTGCCGCGGGGCCCCATCACCCAGGCACTTGGCTAATTTTTGTCACCCTCCGGAATCCCCGCCCAGAAATTTAGCTGACGGGAAGACCGTCCCAAAATCTTCCCCACCTTAAAAAAAAAAAGTGGGGGCGCGACACGCACGTAAACATTTAAGCACTGGTGGACAATGAAAGCTGTGATTCAACATTGGCACATATGCGCTGATACACGATCCCAGTAGAATAAGCTTGAGGGTCTTTAGGAACTCTACAGCAAACCCTGATAGGGCGTTACTCTTACCCAGCCATTCATATTTTAGTTTTGCTGAAAACGACTCCCGCACACGCACGAGGCGAGGTCTCTAACAAAGCTCGCGTTGGGGGAAGGGGCGGGAAAGCGGGAGCGCGACTGTCAGAGGGATCCCAAGGCAATCAAACCAGCCAGTTAACGCCCAGAGCTCATCCGATCTCCTTTCCTCGGACCATTTATTTCAACTGATCCAAAACTAGCCGGCTACCTACCAAGAGAAGAATTGGGGTGGGGGAGGTTTTTGGCCGTCTTCTGCTTCGGCCGAGTGCTTGACAACTTTCAAAATATTTTAGCGGCTGTAGACGTTTGAATTAACGAATTAAAATATTGAGACCAGGAAAAAATAAGGTGTTTCCAGCACCTGAGGGATCCCTGCTCAGACAGATCCTGATTTCTGGATGCCCAGTTTATTTCCGAACTGCCTCAAAAACTTCCAAAGCTGAGGAACAAGAACCACTAAGAATTCCGGCTCCTTTTATTTTATTCATTACTACCGGTAATAACAGAAACATTTGAAGGGCAAAATGGATGGCAATCTTGGTAGAAGGGAGAGAAAGAGGAATTTCCAGATTTTTCGTTCATTTATTCTTTTTCTTCCCGTTTTTAACTGAATCCCACAGAAAGATGAAAATATTCTTGACAGACTTTGTACAGAAAGAGATTTATTTTACAGTCGTGGGAATGTTACCTACATTGTCTTATATACAAGATCACATCCCACATTTTAAATATATATTCTGTTAAAAAAAGGGAAAGTACTAAAATTATATACTTGTAATTTTATATAAATATATACACACACGCACGCACATGTACACACTCACATACACACAAACCAAGATCTCAGGATCATAAGCTTCTTTTCAAACAAGAATGAGCGTTTCAATGAAGATGTTCTCCAAACACAAATATATTAATTATAAAACAATTGGGTGATAAATAAAAAATAGAATTTAAATCAGAGAGGGACGGACGGTACCCTTTATCGGAAGGGGAAAGCTTCCTCTGAAGAAGGTGCACATTTATTTATTCAGCTGTACTGCCCTCCTTATCCTCTCTAGAATTTCCAAAATATTAAATTATTTCGGGGTTTCGCTTCAAGTGCGAACTCAAGCAGTTCCTTGCGCTGCCCGTTTTCAAAAATGCTCCCGGATCACTACTTTTCCACCACTTCTTCCCCGTTGGGTACTTTGCGATCTTCGGAAGAGATACTATTCACGATAGAGGAGAGGCAGCGCAGGCTGCTTGAGGCTGAAGAATCCGTGAGAGTCCCTCCTGTTTTGGAAAGAAGAGAAAAGCGGGAGAGCAACGTTAAGATCAGGACCTAGGAAACAGCAAGGAAGTCAACTTTCCACTGCAACGCTTCACGCAAAAGCTGTCCCTTCCTCATTCTGCTGGTTAGCACCTAGAGACTAACCCATTTATGACTGCGCCGGCTGTCGGGATCTAAAACCTCACCATCATACGCACTTCCACTCGGGTGTGACTGAGTGGCCGTTGTCCATGCAGTTCTCAAGGTCCTTATGGAATCCCCAGGGGTCAAGTACGATTCCAGGGTAATTTGACCTTAATAATTCTGAACGGTTTTGCATTCTTTCAAGGAAGAATGTAAGTGCACAATGTGACATACGTGCACATGTGACAATGTGATATACATGCAGCTAGCATGCAATTCGCTGCGTTGAATTATAAAAAAACCCTGGGAGTCTAGGAAAAGTTGTGCCGTAGTAAATCGTTTGAGACGCTTCGGTTATTTTAACCCAATCAAATTTAGGGCCAAATAGGCTGCTAAACTTATGCTTCGAAACCAAGCTTTCCCATTTCATTCAGTGTGGGGTCTGTTAACTCCGAATCGCCTGTAAAACGCCGCCGATATAATTGGGTCCTAAAGCTCAGCTGTTTCGGAAGCTGCCAGGATCCTACAGGCGTTTACTTAAGAGTTCTAAACTTTGAAGCGAGCTTTTTAACAGGCTGGTTGCCTTGATTCTTAAAAGAGAAGATCCAGCTGCACAAAATGCTTGTTTTCATTCTGGACCTGAGATACACGGAAAATAGCTGCAGCGCTCGGTGAGTAAATGTATTCTAGATATTAACCCCGGTCGCAATTTTAGGCTAAGTTGTCTTGTTGAAATCGGCACTTGCTCCCTGATGGCTCACTGCAGCTCTCAGAAGCAGAAGATCCCATTTGGCTGAGGTTGCTTCCGTCATCTAACAGCCACCCCGTTTTGTTAATTGTGGAGATCGAAGGATTTGTGAGGATTTGGGCTGTCCTGGGAGCCAATTCGGGCCAAACCTGCGAAGGACAGATATCTGGACGGGGCCCCGGGTTCCCCAGCCAATTCAGAGGCGGAGAAGCGCGCTCCTACATCCCGCTAACCCAGCATGAAGCGCGCTTTACCTTCCTTGGCGCTGATCGGCAACGTCCGGGAATGGTTAGAACCGCTCGGCCAGACGGAGCTGCAGGTGTTCAAGTAGTCGGTGGTGGCCATCTGAAAAGAAGAAAAGAAGGAGAAGGGGAAGGGGAAGGAGGGAAAAGAAAGAAAGAAAGAAAGAAAGAAAGAAAGAAAGAAAGAAAGAAAGAAAAAGGAAGGAAGGAAGGAAGAAAGAAAGAAAGAAAGAAAGAAAGAAAGAAAGAAAGAAAGAAAGAAAGAAAGAAAGAAAGAAAGAAAGAAAGAAAGAAAGAAAGAAAGGGTAAGGCCACGATTACCAGCCACTTCCAAGCGCCCCGCCCCGCCCCACTGCCGCGCCCAGCCCACTTCCCCGGCTGGCCAAGGCCAAGTGAAGAGACGGGACGCGGGCAGTGGCAGAGGCGCGCTTACGTTTCCGCGCGTGGGGCTGCCGAAGCCGAAGGCGCGGTTGTCCGCGGCGCTTCCCTCGCCGGCGGGCAGGAGCAGCTCCTGGCCTTTCTCCTGCTGGTCGAGGCGCTGGAGCAGCTCCTGCAGCCTCTCGATGTAGCTGATGGCGCTGCGCAGGATCTCCACCTTGGGCAGCCGCTGGTTGGGGTTGGCCACCGTCCGCCTCTTGAGGGCCTCGAAGGCCTCGTTGATCTTCTTGAGGCGCCTCCTCTCGCGCAGCGTGGCCGCCTTGCGCCGGTCGGTGGGCGCCGCTTTCTTCTTGCACGTCTTGCAGGCCCAGATCAGGCACTGGCCCGGGCAGTGCAGCGGCTGGAAGCCCGGCGGCGCCAGCACGTGCTGCTCCTCACCGCTGCTGTCGCCGCCGCCGCCGCCGCCGCCGCAGGGCTCCGGGGCTAGCTGGTCCTGGCACGACGAGGGCGACAGGGTGCTGTCGCTGCCCGGGTAGAGCGGCGACCCCTCGGCCATGTCCAAGCTCTGCAGGGCCCCATTGTCGCCGTCCAGGTAGAAGAAGTAGGAGCCGGATTCGAAAAGGTCCATCATGATGGGCTCGCGGGTCGCCTCTGGGCCTCCCGGAGGGGGGGGGAGGGGCTGGCCAAGGCAGCCCGGAGAGCGCGCGCGAGAGAGAAGCGGCCCGACGGAATTTAATTAGCGCGGTGACATAAGAGCCCTCGGCTGCTTTATATATAGTAGCCCCTGAAACTCTATCCAACTTTTAGCTGTCTCCACACAGCCCCCTCCTAGGAGCCGAGCAGAAAGCGAGCTCTGGGTGCCAGCCTGAGACTGTTATGGGCCAGGCCGAAGGGAGCAGCAGAAAAGATACACATCTTCTGTCCCCCCCCCCCAAATATTTTTTTTTATAAAGCCAAGAGCCATTAAAAAAAACGGTGGGGGGAGGGAATGAATGACAAAGCTTGTGTAAGAATGTGGGGTGTGAAGGAAAAAAAGGAGTACAGTTAATCCTCAACGTATGACCACAATTGAGCCCCAGATTTCTGTTGCTAAGTGAGACATTTGTTAAGTGAATTTTGCCCCATTTTATGACTTTTTTCCACATTTGTTAAGTGAATCACTGAAGTTGTTAAGTTGGTAGCACGGTTATTAAGTGAATTGGGCTTCCCCATTGACCACTTGTCAGAAAGTTGCAAAAGGTGATCACATGACCCCAGGACACTGCAACTGTTGTAAGTATGAATCAGTTGTCAAGCATCTGAATTTTGATCAAATGACCATAGGGATGCCACAATGGTCATAAGTGTAAAAATGGTCATGTCACTTTTTTCAGTGCCATTGTAACTTCAAGCAAACTGTTGTAAATCAAGGACTACCTGTAATCAATTTCAATCCCAAACAAGGATGAATCCTTGTGGACCCAGGGCTAAGTATAGATCTCCGAGGTAGGCTTGAAGATTACACCTGCAAAGAGGCAAAGCAATATCTTTGTTGGGCTGAGCATTATTGTTGGCTTTTTCTTTCAGCATGCCATTCCCATGACCCTCCCAAGAGTATAAAGGGAAAGGAGCACTGTGGTAATGCTGTCAAGAAGATCGGCAAGGGGGAATCTTCTGAGCCTCTTATCACAAGACTTTGTTTAGCAGCTATGATCCATCCTGCCCTCAGGGACACTTCTCCCCATCCCACCCCAACATATTGTTGACCTTCAGAAAAGCTTGGCTATTTGCTCAGGCACTCAGGCCATGATGAGTAGACATCTGGAGTAGGTGTGATGTGAGCCCTGGTTGTCTATGAAGCATTTTCTGTGTTTATATGGAATTGTTCATTGTTTGATTTTCTATGATTTGTTGTAAGCTGCCCATAATCTCAGTGCTTGATTTGGGTGGCCATACTATTCTTCTCTGACATCCATCCATCCATCCATGGGCTTATTCATAAGGCTCTGTTGGCATATAGGGAATGTGCATTCAGTGGATATATGTGTGCCATGTGTGCCAGATTGCTCAATTTTCAATCAGACCCTGTGTTTGAAGCAAGTAGCAATTACTTGTTTGCATGTGTACTTTTTAACACTACAGCTGGACTCCAGCTCAGACCAAATCAAAATTATTGCTTCCTGTTTTTTGATATAAATAATGCAAATGCTTAGTAACATATCTAGTTGCATTGGTTTCTGATGGCCACGTTTTTCCCCCTAAGAATTTAGGAATAAATGGAATGGTGAAAGCAATGATCTGAAGCCAACGTCTGCATGACCAGATTCTATACTTTGCTTATTAAGTGCCTGTAACATACCAAACATTGTGAACAACCTTGTTGTTCACCCTCATGAAAAAAAGCTCTCCTTAGATAAATATATAAACTTGGTTTCAAGGAGTTGCAAGTACATGTTACAAATAACTCTACTGCATAGAGATAGAAACATTAATTCCACTGAAAACGCTTGGAATCCAAACAGTCTATCTGGGATCAAGCGATCAAGACACTTGTCCATGCAGAGGTCAGCTAGTTTTTACAGTGGTGCCCTTGCAACTGGAAAGCTAATAATTTGTAGCATCTAATCTACTCTGTAAAAATATATCTTCACTTTCCAGGATATTTTATACTCTCTGACTCTTTAACATTGTATTCTTTGAATGAAAAAATTTGTTGCAGAGAATTTCTTTTTCTGTTGCTTCTTTCTTCAAGAGGAAGTCTTTTTATCAGTATTAATGATTCGTTTTTGAAAACTGGGGGCTGTACTTTTTCTATTCTCTTGTCACTGAGGACCACAAGATGGTAGAAGTCAAGGTGATGATGTCATAATAGTCTAAAAGTAATACTGCTAGGATTTTCCTCCTTAAATTATTTATTATGCACAAGGCTCTAGCTTTTCTTCTTTTAATTTTAGTTCTGCTAAGCTCATCTGAATGCTGAATTATGATGGTAACAGTCCAGGACAACTGCAGTAATCCCAAAAAGTTTTAGGAGATGCAGGTGGCCATGGATTTTCAACTTCTGAATTATATCAATATTGATTGTATTAAGTCAAAGTTTTTTTTTTTTTTAGAAAAGAAGGTTAAAGTTTCCTGATTATGAATGGTCACAGATTAGATAAATTTATTGTGAAATGTATTTTGCAATCTGATTCCAGACTACTAGCTGAAAAGTCATATTAAGCTAGTAAAGATCAAACATAAAAGCAATATGTATAATAGAAAAAAATTGTTCTACCACATAGAAGCCAAATGTTTGGACTCAATTTGGTTTTCAAAATTTTGCTTATGGTTCTTAGATCTAAATTACATGTCTTGCTGAAATATACCAGTAGTCTGGTATTATGATCAAATAATTGTAATAAACACATTAGTCTTACAATTAATACATATTTATATTCAGATGTGTATATATGTATGGAAATTAATTCAATATGATAGTAAGAGATTTTTTTCCTACCTGAATGATTAAAAATTCAAAGCTATTTAAAATGGTATAGCCTTCTTTTTCAGCAATAAATGCTTGAAAAAACATTACATTGGAGTCTTTAGTGAGGTTTCATGATGAGCTAAATGTCCCTGAAGGATTGGGGACAGAATTGCAATGGATATTGATGATCAGATGGCTAATACTGGATGACAAAGAATAAGGAAAGCTCATGAGATTGTCCACTTGAACTCCAGACAGCTCCCTCTCCCCATGGATAGATAGGAACTGAGCTTTTTGTTGTCAGCTCATGAGTTAAACATCTGAGAGTCGAGGGATTTCAATCAAGCTCCCAGCCATAATGCAACCTATAGGGAATAAGGTTTGCTAAGCCTCTTTTTTAAAACTCATTTTGAAAAACATTAAATACAAAACTCCAACAAACTTATTAAAAAGAAAAAGTGAAAAAGGTGCATTAAAAAAACCCAACACATATACACACATTATCTTCCCTAGTTGAATACTGTTTAATACCTTTCTACAATATTGGTTTCCCACCCCTTATGAAACAGAAAAAAATTTAAACTGCTAAGTCTATTTGCAAATTATTGAACTATCATCCATATACTATATTAATCACAAAATAGTTAATAAGAACAACAATAATAAAAAAGACAAGATTAAAGTTTCAAAACCCTGTGTTAACAATCTGTTATTATAATCAACTTGTGGAAAGTTTACCATGGCATCTTATCTATCCCAAATCATCTGAAGAGTTAACAATAATTCATTCTGGAACAAATATCCATGTTTGTTTCTTAATAACATCTCTTATCAATTATCATCCAATTAAATATAGTAAGTTCAGTCTCCACAATCGGTTTATCTTCCCAACAAAGTCCAGATGAGTGGTTTCTGATTAAATGTAACACATCCATTCCCCAAAGTTCTTCAGTCCTCTTACAAAAATCCAATGTATCACTTCTCCAGTCAGACAGGCTTTTGCTATTGTAAAAGAATGCAGGCTTGAACTTTAGAGAGGGGTATGCAATTGGCTCAGTTGGTTCTATGTCTGTATAGTCCATATCTTTTTCCAGTCTTTCCAATGGTTTGCAGCTTTTCAATCACATTCATTTTGTGACTCTAATTTCACGAATCTGAAGATTTTCTACAGCCATTATCATTTAATCAAACTTTTTTTTTTTTTAAAAAAAAAAGCTTTCAACTAAAAATTGCAGGTTACCAAAAGGTCTTTTCCTGAATATCAGCCACCCTTGCTTGTCTGTAATCCAATATACTGTTGCTCTGTGTAACATAGCCAGGAAACAAAGGATGCTAAAGCAGAAAAAAACAGGAAAGATGTTTTCTGGATATTTTGATCCAAGATTAAATGAAAAATTAAAAAAAAACTCCAAGTATTTGGTAAATTTAAAACATTAGGTGAAAATCCAAGATTAATATAAATCAAATGAAAGCACTTTCACTATCCAAGGACATGCTGTGTTTTCTTACAGGAAAATGAAAGTTATCCAAAACAGCATAAATCAAAGGAAAAATAAAAAGAACAGCTAGAGTCCACCAAGGGGTTAAAATAAATTAGCATTCAGTCAGCTGATCAACTTTGAACGATAAAAAGCAGAGTAAAACAGAGAATTTAAAAAGTGAAGTTAAAACTTAGGCATGCTTAAGAAAATAAACTGTTGAAAGGAAGATGGCTGACCAATGACTTTCTGACTGGTCCCAAAAGGGAACTGGAATCTTCAAGACTCTCCTTTCCAGATGGCCCCGTGGCCATCCAAACGCTGTATTGAGTCATTCCTAAGTGCTCCTGTTCAAATTCAGGGTGCAGCACTACCAGAGAATCAGCTTTGGCAGCAGTATCAGTAGATCATCGGCAAGAGAGAAACAAAATCTCATACTGTTCAGCAGCCATCTTGGGGACGAGCCCCTGGATCTCATTTATTAATCACTTTCAGAAACTGCTTTTTAATTTCTTTTTAGTTATTAGAAACCTTTGGAACAATATGTTTTATAGTACTGAGAGAATTTCCTTTAATCCTTAGTGAAAGAAGTTTTAAATACAACTTTAAGGTCTTAAAAAACTATTTTTAGTAAAAAATAGTTTTTGCTAAAAAACAGCAAAAGAGTGATTAGAATGTTGGCTTTGGAAAATTATAAGTAAGATG